GGCAACCCAAGGGTCTGTAACAAACTGATCAACATAAATAGGTGGGCAACATAAGGAACCAGGCCTGCTGAACTGATATATAGATGTGGTGTGTGTCTGGTCTATGAAGATTAGGTCAATTTCTGGAGGTGGTCAGGGTAAGGAGGTGATCAACTACAGAGGTTCTATGGTTCATGTAATCTGTATTACAGGATTTTTTTATTTGTGTTGTTCATATTCCATCTGCTCCATATCAAGTATAAACTCTATGTGGACAGAGTTTAAGGATAAGGAGCTTTTGTTAGCTTGTTTATTTTACTCTTTGCGGTATCTTCAATACCTAAAACAGACCTGGCACAGAGCACAATTCAATTAATCTTTGTGGAGTGAAAGAACGAATGACACATGACGGGTGGAAATTTAACTAAAGTGATTTAAATAGTTTATTTTTCTAGATAGATGGAACTCACTTCAGTTAAATAAGGTCCTGCTAAAGGATCAATTTATTCAAGGACTTATGTCCCAATGTCTTGATGTCACTGAGAGACTAAGGTGAGGGCCTGATTATCTATTTTAAGAGCAAAATATTCTCTATCATCATTGTCACTTACCACTAAAGGCTTATCAGACCCACTTGGCTAACACAACATGTCAGTCAGCTAGCTGCAAACATAGGGAGGAAGAGGATTCTGTAAATAAGTCCAGAAAATGAGTTAAAAATCTCTTTTGTCAGGATTTCTTGTTAGCATTGTTTACTAACTACAGATACTTTAAGAGATGATGCCAGGGTGCCAGAAAGAATCAAAAAGGATGTTGAAAAAATGTGTACTTTGCTCCAAGATAGGGATTGGTATTCAGACTGCTCTGTTCAGAGAAAAATGCCCCTGCAAGCGGAGGTAGAGGGGCAAACACCTCAATAAACTAAAGGTCACTGTCAAAGAGATGGAGGGAGTGAGAGCTGGACCCAGAGCTGAATCGCTGGCTTTTCATGTCACCTCAGTTGTGGCAACATTGCAATACCCACCTCAGGCACCTTCAACTCACTAATGATAAATGGGAGAAAAGTGGTCAGGAGTGCTCAGTTTAATTTTGAGAAATCTGCTTAGTGTATACGGTAGAAGAGCAAGAGAAAAACTTTTCATTCACTTCTGTGAATCCCTCACACCTCCTATTCACATCCACGAGCTCCAATGAACTGAAGCTTCCATACTTTGACTTTAAGTGAGCACCCAATAAACTATTGGCTTTTCAGGACCCACCATGTGTTCCAGCTCCCCAGTCAGGGAGAAAGAGACAAAAGAAAAGTTCCCTAGGGATAGTGATGACCTTGTAAAGCACTTTGTGTTCTGGCTCCACTCTTTCATGTCTTCACTCATTTGTACAGTAAAGACATGTGGAGTATCTATTTTGTGAAAGGATCTATGCTAGCAATTGGACCTCCAAGGACACGGAAGGGACAGGAGTCTGGTAGCAGATCATAGCACATAAGTGAGGAAAGGCAGAGAGACAGATTGGAGCAGTTGACCACTTACACTGGCCAGCCATCCTTTCCAAGGAGTGGTTTCTAAAGCCACAGAATCTGATGTGAAATAAAAATTATGTTGACCAATCTTAGAAAATGCTATAGTGAGGACCAACTCACAACTTGGCAATAAGTCTAGCTCAGCCAGTTTTTCCAGTGGAGAGCTGTTTCTTGTCTAAGCACCAGTGAATGCATTTGGCTTTTGGTTTGGGGGCTGTGTAAATACAAAGCAAACCAACAAAACCTTAAAAAGAAAATCTTGATTACTGGAAAAATTATCATACAATAAGGATCACATCAGAACTGAGTTTGGAAACAGACCCTCATTTAGGAGAATGAGCTACAGAATCACTAAATTAAGTGGCTTTAATGTTGATTTTTCTTTTTTTTGGTGAAAGTACACATAGTTACTTTTGTACTTGTACACATACTTTTGTAGTTAAGTATGTGTACAAGTCTGAATAAAACACCTGTTACCATGTGTCAGATGCTTCATATGCCTTTCTGACCTTCAAAATAGATATACAAAACATACATTATTGTCTCCATTTTATGAGTCAAGAATGCCTCTATGAGGCATAGAGAGGTTGGATAAATTGGGCAGGGTCACGTGGCAAGTAGGAAAAAAGTCCTTCTGTCTGTCAGAGATGACAATACAATTTGATAATTTTAGGATAGTCTTAATTTTAGGATAATTTTAAGATAATTTTAGGATAGCATTGGCAGGGTATAGTGATAATACAATGTCCCAAATCTGGTGACAGAAATGGTGTGGCCAAGTCTAAGCCTGAAGAAGCGATGAGAGGGTGGAGATTGCAGAAGCATAAGGTGACAGCAAGTTGAGAGATTATGAACCACAGTTCATCTGAGGGTTGGAGAAAACCCAGGTGACGGAGCAGGGAGTGAGCCAGGGCCATCAACATTCTCCAGTTGTCTCCTCTCTCAATCGACTCTCTCTTCTTAAAGTTCCCCACTAGCTGAACCCATCAGAAGGCACAGGGCAAAGAGCCTGTTGATGTAGTCCATACTGTTCACACTGGGACAGTGAAGAGGGTGGATGGTGTCAAGAAGGGTGAAGGAAGCTTTCCAGCACAGTTCTCTGCTGCATAGTAAACGTTTCCTTCCAGCCAGTGACAGCAGTATTTTAATCATCCTTATAGCTCACAGAACAATGCTTGTCACATCACAAATGAGCAATAAAAAATGTACTACTACCTTTTCCTTCTTTTCCTTTCTACTTTGTTGTCTCCAAGACCTTAGGTCCAAAGTGAAGATGGCATTGACAGTCAACTGTGGTGCCTGTCTAAAAAGAAGTGGTGTGCCCTTTCCAGCCCTCACCACAGTTTGAGAGGTGCAAATGGGGAACATTCTAGAGTAGTATTTCCTCCCGTGAAGACTCTGTGTTCCTTGCCCTCTTGCAGGAGGCTGGGAACAGGGAGGGTGGAGTGTTTCTTTTTCTGGGGATGCTTCCAAGCCATTTCATAGAGCATCAGCAATTTTAATTTGAGTCAAGACCAAAGTTTGAGAACCATGCTATTCAGCAAACTTCTTTGCAAGATGTAGGAAAAAAAGACATAAAAGAATACTGTTTTCAAGTGGCTAAGATTATTGTCAGAAGCACTTCAGATTTGAATTATAGTCATGAGAAATGTGGAAAAGAGAATTGAATATCTGTGCCTTCAATTAGAACTTACTAACTGTCTGGTTCCCTAGTACTGTAAACAATCTACTAGAGACAGCATCAAGAAAGGAATAGACATAGTTTAAATGCTAAAACTAACATTTTTTTTTTTTTCTTTTTTGGTCTCAAGGCCCCTCCCCCAAATCCAGCATCTCAAAACAGGTCAATTGTGCTCTGAGAAGGCCGTTTTGCTCCAGTTGAAGTATTTGTTTGTGACAAACTTTTCATATAGTGTGATGGTCTTTTAACCACAAGCAGCTGGGATCTCACTATTTGTTAAAATTTCTCTCTCTGCCCACATTTGCATCAGAAGAGAATGTGTTGTGGAATCTTCACACTAAGGTCCTGGGAAGGTCATCTGGGATGTCTTCTGCCTTTTCCATCCTTTCTGCACTAACTGATAGGAATCTTCCTGAGGGTGAGAGATCTGAAGAGAAATCAACCTCTCTTCCAGTTAGCCTTGTCTTGCTGTTAGAAACCAAGCTGCTCCACTTGAATCGTGCCTGTTCAGAATTAAAAATGGAAAGTACAATAGTTTAACACGTTTTATGACCTTCATGTTTTATTAAATTTCATAAAGCCTTTCCATTCAAAGGAGGGTCAGATTTTAAATTAAGGCTCTTACAACAAATATTTAAGCTCAGATTTAATGAAAAAGTTATTGTGTATTCATGCAATTGTAATTGATTATAGAAGGCTCATGTATTGAAATTTTAAAAGGATAATAGATACTGTAAATGGACAACAATGTTTAACAGGATACTAAATTTGGTATTTATTTGGCCTATTTTAGGTACATTTTGAAAATTTATGGCATGATGATAATTGTTTTTTAGATATAAGTACTTCACACATAGACGGGGCATAATAAATATTGACTGAAAGAATGCGTGGATTACATGAGTAAAAGAAATCTACAAACTTTACACTCTCGTTTTATGAGAACTAATACGCTTTAATTAATTCAATGTAACAAAATTTCATAGGCAGTATAATTTGTTCTAGCCTTGTGCCAAGCTTTGAAAGCTATGTGAAATGTTCAGGAGAGAGGCTGCATCCTTAAGGAGCTGAGCATGGAGACAGGGACATGATCTATGCAGATACAAAACATGGAGAGAACAAGAAAAAAGAGATGCCTGGCCATGTTCCAGCTTTCAGGGGAGCTGGAGTGGTTGGATAAGACATTATAGAGGAAGTGAAGTTGAGACAGGTATTGAATAACTTCCAAAGGGGTGTATAATATGCTCTCTCATTCTATCATAATAAGCATTTAAAGATTGTCAACGGATTTGCCAAAGATTCTCAGCAAAGCAGCATAAAAAGGCTATTTAAAGAAATCAAACTTCCTCCCTCATGCTAGTTTTTCTCCCTCTGGAAATTTTCTCTTGGGTTGTGCTTCCAGAAGTTTGACTCTCTAGTGCCTGTATATAACACTTTTGCATTTTTCCTACTTAAGGTTCATGAGTTTCTTAAATCTGTGGGTTGGTGTCTTTCATCAGTGTTGGAAAGTTCTTGATCTTCTTTTGTTTTTTTTCTCTACCCCAGTATTATTTCTTTCCTATTCCTTCTCTTCTCCTAGGATTGCAGTTATATACATATTAGATAGTTTAATTCATAGTTCATCTCACATATTTCCTTCTATTTTGTTCTTTTTATTCTTTTATTCTTCCTTTGCTTTGGTTTAGGAACCTGTCATAATCCTGTCTACTGCTGTGTTCAGTCTTCTGTTAAACCTATCCAGCTTTAGATATTGTACTTTGTACTTTCAGAATGTTCATTTAATTATTTTCTAATGGATTCTGATTTTCTTTTTTAAAAAAAAATATGGAATGCTTCATGAATTTGCGTGTCATCCTTGTGCAGGGGCCATGCTAATCCTCTCTGTATCATTCCAATTTTAGTATATGTGCTGTGGAAGCAAGCACGATTCTAATTTTCTGCTGAAATGTTTTATCTGTTTATCCATTCCATCCAGTTTTTCCTCTGTTTTCTCTAACAAAGTTTTTTGAAGTCCTTGTTCATTAACTCCAACATCTAGATTATCTCTGAATTTGCTTCTGCTAACTGTCTCATCTATTTATTGCAAATCACTTTTTCTGTTTCATTTATGTCTAGTAAATCCTAATAGTATGCCGGACACTTTCAATAATGCTTTACACAGATTCTAGATTATGTTATCACCTTCTAAGTGAATTGAGTTTTATTTTGACAGGTAGTTAATTCTTGGTGAACCCCTTTGATTATTTTCATGCTTGGCAAAAATTTTGCTAAGTAAGATCATTTCTGGGTCTTTTAAATTTCATTTTTATTGCCAGGCATGGTTCTTACTCTTATAGTATGGATTTTTCAGGATCTCTGATTTTTCCACGGTGTTGCTCAAGGTACCTCTACTCTGGCTGCCCTCTGTAGGCCCTCTGCAACTTCTGATCAACTCTCAACCTCTTAGCATCTTTTATTTCAAGACTACTTATATAGCTTCATGCTGACTTGGGTAGGCTAGATGTTGGCCTAGGACCTGAGGCATATTTCCACCAAGAATTTTGAGATGTTGCTTCTCTGACAACATGATTCCAAAATCCCAGTTACCTGACCAGACTCAAACTCTGATTTTGCTTCATTTGCCACAAAGATCACTATTCATTCCTTAGACACCTCATCTCTGTATCATAGCCCAGAAAAAATCCTTGGAGAGAAAGTCTGAGTAAATGTGGGTATCATCTCCTATGCCTTCTATTTCTTAGGGAACTCATGGTTTCATTTGGTTGCTCTCCAACACCTGCAAATGATGATTTGATATGATTTATGAGGTTTTATCATTGTTTGGTGGGCAGATGAGTCTAGTATCAGCTATTCCATCATGGCTAGAGTCTTCCTATGCTGTCTTTCTACTAAATAAAAGTTTGAATTCACAACACACATGGATAACATGCATGTTTCCTTGTTTATGGAATATGCACACACATATGAGTGTATACTTATCTATCTACATGTATACAAGTTTGCTTATATAATAAATATACACATGTATAACTATGCACACAAACACATATGTGATTGAGGTTTAATTCATGTGCCTGGAGTTAGTTTTGTGTGGTTAGAGGGTGGAGATTTTCCTCACTCCTCACTGCTGCCGAATAGTCAATTGGAGATTTATTTGGTCAATTCAGGATTCCCATGAGGTTAATTCACTAGTCATGGACATCTTCCAGTGAATTCCTTGGAATAGGAACCTCTTTTAGCAAGGTCCTGCAGGGGTGACTGCTAGAACCAGTGTTCCGGAACAGGTCTCCATATGCCCCTTCTGGTGCTCCTCCTGTTGTACCAAATTGTCTCTCTAAAGAGGCAGGTAGTCTTTTTCTGCTACTCTTCATTCTACAGGTTCATGGTTTCTTGCTGCATGGAGCATTAGGTACCACCTGAGATTTTCCAGGAAGCTCTCTATATATTCATCTCTGTGCCTCTGCCTTGGTGTCAGGCACAAACATTATTGAGTTGTTATTTAATTCTTTCTCAAACTGAAAGAGGCTATTGCTTACTCAAAACCAGATAAAGGAATAAAAATAAACAAGAAACATTTAGCCAGAAGAAAAGGCTGAAATGAAACAGAAAAGATGTGGCAGCCTGGCAGCTTCTCAGCCCAGAGGCTTTGATTTTTGATGCCCCTGCTTGCTGCAGCTGATCTGGTTCCAGTTGTGGTGGAGTCCTGAGGTCCTCGCTGTTTTCTTCATCCTCTCCCCTGATCCTCAGTTCCCACTAAAACCTCAATTTGAGGCAATAGTAGTCAGTGATGATAATTAGAATTTGCTCCTCTTAGAGATACCTGCATTCTATCACAGGATCTAAACCTTTAGGTAAGCAATATAACCCAATTATAACCCAAGAAGAAGGGAAAAGGAGAGAGAGGGGGGAGGGGAGTGGAGAGGGTGGGTGGAGGGCCACCAAGAATTTGGTGGGTAATTGGTGGGAACCACACCTTTGGTGCATCTTACGAGGGTACACGTGAAAGTGACTTAGTGTAGAATATAAATGTCTTAACACAATAGCTAAGAAAATGCCTTGAAGGCTATGTTAACCAGTTTGGTGAAAATATTTCAAATTGTATATAAAACCAACACATTGTACCCCGTGATTGCATTAATGTACACAGCTATGATTTAATAATAAAAAAAAAGAATTGAACTTTCTCTGCTGAGTCTAGGTCTACTGGAGATGAGGATATTTGTAATACCAAGCCCAGGGTGAGAGAGGATTGCATTAAGGGACTTTGTGAAAGTAAGAGAAAAAGAAACTCCCCGAGGAGAACTGTCATTCTTTTGACAGTTTTTTTTTTCTTTATAATTTAAAGGCAGATAAGATGATTGGCCTGATCAAAGTTTAGTTTAACAAAGTTGTTTATAATCCTAGAAAACTATACATGACAAAACAAAAAAAGAAAAGATAAAGAAGAAAGAAAACTAGTCATCCTATAGCAGTCAAACTCATCTTCTAGAAATGTGAATCGTGTCATACCTCTTTGAAGCTTTCCTCCAACATTTTCCCATTGCGTGAAGCTCGTACTGGAAGCTCTCCATGACCTGCTTTCTGTCTTCCTCTCCCTCCCCAAGCCCCAGTCACACTTGTTCATGTTTTATTGTTCCTGGAGGGAATAGTCTGAACAGCTCTTGCTTCAGATCTTTGCTGCTTCTTGTCATTCAAGAGTCAATTCCAAAATTATCTCCTCAGCGCAGTTTCTGTGACCCATCACGCTGCGTGATTACATTTGTCCTCAGAAACTGGCTTGATTGTGGTGTGTTTGTGGTCTGGGCTGTCCCTCGTCATGAGTATGTGCCTCAGAGTGAAGGGGCCCTTTGTCTTCTGTTCCCCACTGAACATTTTGCCAGCCGGACAGTGACTGGCTCAGAGAAGGTTTCCAATAACATGTGTTGAACTAAGGTATTAATACAACAGTGGATAAATAGTTCATACAAATATGTTTATAAGAATTTCATTCATGGATTCATAGAATGCCCAGAGAGGACACAGAAAGCCTGTCTTCGGCTTCTCTCTTAATGTAGCTCCCTCAGCCCCTTCAACATGCCAATAGCTGCTTCTGCTTAAAGAAACAGCTTTGTGCCACAGCCTGTTTCACTCAAACAGCCTTCTTAGTTCCACTCCCAACATATAGGACTTTCATTCACTGCACAGTTTCAATGCATTCTTCTGTTTTCCAAGTCCTTAGGAGACCTGCAGCACCAGATTAGGGGAGCGAGGGGACTGCTATCAGTGCAGGAGGACATTGGGTCTTCTTATAGTTGACAGTGAAGGAGAAAGACGAAACTCTCCAGTGAGTGCAAAACCTGGAAAGTGCACCCATTCAGTTAGGGGAAAAGTTGTAGGCCCATGTCAGTAACTGAAAAACATCCCCATGCCATGCATGAAAAAAAGTACTGATGAGAAGTTGATGATGAGATTTTTAAACATTTAGATGATAAAAATGCAGTTTTTAAAGAGCCTACACATTGTCATTGAACTGATTCGGTTCAAGTTCACATTAACAGAGTAGCTTCCTCTAATAGCCTTTGTAATGCTTTCTTGTGCAGAGAAATAAAGTCTTCTGAGAGATACTGCAAGGATTGACAGAATCTTTGTACAACACTTAGCCTTGTATACTGACAGGAGATAAACCTTCAATAAATGTGAGCGACTCTTATTATAATAATGAAGTTCATTGTGATGGTCTTATATTACAGATAAAAGGATAAATTCTGTGCAGTAAATTTTATGTCTATCCAATGCTATTGCTTTTTAAGTTTTAGTATAAAATAAATAAAACTTCAAATAGCCAAACAACCTGACACGATTCATATTAAGACTGATTTGTTTTATTTTTATTATATTTTCTATTTTATAAATCCTTTTCATAGATATGATCTCACTTGATGATTCACAGCTGCTCATTCCCTGAATAACGTAAAGCTGCTGCAGTATTTTGTAATAAGAGTTACCTGTATTCTGGTTGAAGAACCAGCTGCATCTCTTCAGTCTTAATGTTTTGTTTGGCCAAATCAGATTTCCTATGCCAGAAAGCACAGAGCCAATTTGTTCTCTGGAAAGCTCCGGTGTTTAAAGTTAAGGAAGAAAAGTCTTTATCTTAAAAAGGCAGCTTGGAGGTGTCAGTTAAATTCGCTGCCACCCACAGATGCTTAACCTGGAGAAATCAGAAATAATGAAGGATTAAAGATTATGCGCCTACAGTAATTTTGAAAAAATAAAGGAGTCCCTCAGGTAGAAATATGATCCATTAGCCCCAAACTTTTCAAGTTACAGCCTATAAATATTTGAAGTGTTTAGCTTCTAAGGAGGCAAAGGAATTATTCAACTCGGTACAAGGAGAGGTGATGAGAAGTAATGGGATGACATTAACAAAGAGAACATTTCCTCAGTAGGGAGAACCGGGTAATGCAAAGGCTTCTCTTAAAACAGAGACCCGTTCGTTGACTTAGAAGCATGGAAACAAGATGGCGCTTTATGATGGGACCTGATGGCTGCAATCCTTTCTCAGTTCCTGTGGCTGGTGACCTGCTCTGAGTTTATTGAGCAGTTTTAATAGTTCACTCAGCCCCTTTTCATTTGGTTTTAGTTAAACTAGTATGAAAGAACAGTCAGAGTAAACAGAAATGTTGAATCATTTCTACATTAGGGGAGCGAGGGGACTGCCACCAGTGCAGGAGGACTTTGGGATTTCTCATAGTTCCAATGAAGAAAATGGATACCAGGGTGCTTGAATCCTCAGCACCCTGGTATCCATTTTCCTGCTTTTTATATGCAATACTGCCTGTTGAATATATCCCATTTTGCCACTTTTATCTGTTCATTTGATATTTTTAATGATGACTAGATAAGGGGAAGAAAAGATAGGAGACAGGACTAGGGGATAAAGGTGAAT